AAAAAAAAAAAAAAAAAAAAAAAAAAAAAAAAAAAAAAAAAAAAAAAAAAAAAAAAAAAAAAAAAAAAAAAAAAAAAAAAAAAAAAAAAAAAAAAAAAAAAAAAAAAAAAAAAAAAAAAAAAAAAAAAAAAAAAAAAAAAAAAAAAAAAAAAAAAAAAAAAAAAAAAAAAAAAAAAAAAAAAAAAAGGTCTTATCCCTGAGGATAACCAACTAAAGCAGCATGTTCTGCAAAAGCACCTGAACAGAAAATGGCAAAAAGGTTATATAAACCAAAGGAACATTTACTTTAGGACACAGACCAAAGAAAAGTACAATAAGCTATTGTTAGCTACAAATCATCTTGAAAATGGACACTAATGGCACAGAGGTACCATGGTCTCATTCTCTGGTACAATAGCCCTGGTATCTCCAAGTCAGGAACATTTGCCTTCAACCTATTCTTCTGGCCCAGCAATTCAAACAGTGACTTTCCAAACTGATCCAAATAATTGTGTTATTCTCTGGTAAACTACAATGGGACAATGAACTGGGGAGGCACTAGCTGTAGTCCAGAGGAAACCCTGAACCCTAAAATATTGGACTTGAAATAGCTTTGGTGACCTCATGTGGAGGTAGTGGCAGTGGCTGTACCTGTATTGCCAACAGATGAAGGGCAGCCCCAAGGTTTCCCTACCTCCCTGCCATCCAGACAGACCACCAAAATGATAACAGTTGTATCACCAAGTCATGAGCTCTTTAGTGTCGAAAAAGTAGTCAAAACAACTCTGAGGCAGAATTTTTTTCCTATGACTTCTTATTTATTCAGTTAAAACTGGCCACAAATGAACATCTGAATCCTTTTCCTTCCCAAAAGGCTTTAGAAAGCAGCTCAGTGATGTACCAGGGCTGTCCCCCATCTCAGGGGTCATCACTGCCCACCAGTCCTGGAGATACTCTGTTGCATTAATAAATTAAGATATTTCATGAACAGACATTTCTGCTGTTTGTGACCCTGACTGGAGCTCAATATACCCCTGTAGATTATATCCTACAACAGCACTTGACACTGAGGAAAAACTTAGTGGAGACAGACTGGAATCACCTTTCCTGACAGCAGCTGCTCTCTTCCATGGGACAGGCTGCACAGGCAGCAGGAACTGGGACAGGGGCACCTCTTGGCTAGGCAGCCAATTTCCTTTTCTAGCCCAAGCAAAAAAAGTGCTCTTCTTGAGAGAAAATCACCACCCACATCCTAGACATTTCCCTATGGAGGAGGTGGACCATACTCTCAAGGTAAATGCCTCCTTGCACTGACTCTAAAGACAGAGCCTGTGATCAGGTCATACAGAGACATAGTTAGATAAGATTAACACTGACAAAGAGACTCTGAGGAATAAGGAAGTGACTGGGAGCTCCAGAGGGAGGTCAAGCCCTCATCAGAGCAGGGATGGCACTGACACATGGTAGGAAAATTTTATCCACACTGTTTGGTAGAGGACCAAGAGAAAAATACACAGGCACTCAAAGTACCATGTCAGGGAGGAGATGGGGCAAAACAGATGTGATATGCCATTAAGACAGAGAAATTTCACCAAGTCAGTTTATTGAACAAGTATTTCAGGAGCTAAGGAAACAAGGCAAACTGAAGGAACGTTACTAGGGACGATCAGCCCATGGCAAGTCACATTTAAAGGAGCTTGTCTTCCTGGGCTGAACTCCAGCACAGACTTAGCATTCAGCCAAACTCATGAGATTGAGAGTTGTTCTGCTTTCCCTGGTGAGGAAAAGGAGAGAGGAGAATTAGGCACAGAGCATATTAAGTGCTGAAGTCACATTCCTCATTTCACTGACCCAAGTGTCCATTTAGTGTTGACTGGAGATAAAGAACTGTCTCAAAAATCCAAATACTCCCTTTCATTATCATCTTTAAAGGAAAGATGAACAGTTTCATACATTTGATACTATCCCGTTGGTTTGGTGAAGTACTTTCCACATGCCCTCATGAGCTTGTGGGACACACTGAGTGCAGGTGGAAATGAATAAAATACTTTTAAACTTAACAAACAGAAGGCCAGGTACAGATCATAGAATTTTTTTTCCTGTGATTTTCCCCTAAATTTTCCCCTAAAATGCAAAAAGTCCAGCTCCTTGCACAACTCATGGTGCATCGGATTTGTCCAGTACATGCCCATAAGCAGTTAGTCAAAAAGGCATCATGAGAACAGCCCTGAATTCATAGTAGATACAGGAACTGATCTTGAAAGAAAAAGTTTTACTCATACTTACAGGTAGGCATTGCAGAAAGCACATCTGTTGCTGTATGTTTTGCCATCAGAGCCACAGTGAGGCATATATTCCATGGTGCATACTGGAGACACTTTGAAGTCCTTGCAGAGGTCCTGCACACAGAAGATAGACATAAATCTCTCTGCCTGAGAGCAAACTGTGTCCCCCCAGCATAAGGAATGACACCCCACTGAGAAATGAAAGTGGCTACAACATTAGCATAACCAACTCAAAGTTTCCTCCTGGTGGCAGATGTGATTTTGTACTGTTTCTGCTCACTGCTGTGCCTTTTCCTGCACTGTTACACAGCAGTGGGACAGATGTTGGCTGTTTTATGATTGGTGTGAAATTCCCAAGGGATCCCCTCAGGTCTGTATGCCACCACTCCTCCGGTTCATAAAACAGAGTGAAAACAGTCCTCCATGAGTGTAGCAGACACTGGACTTCACTCTTTGTTCCCATCCTTTCTCACTCACCCTTGTAATGTCCTCTTCACAGCGTCCATTCTTTCTTTTGCCAAGGTTGGTCCGATGCTCCCTGGAGGATGGAGAGACCATTGTTAACCACGACCTTCCCCAGCACAACAGAGCAAGAACAAACCTCACGCCCCTGGAGTCACAGGATTTTCAGATCAACCACCTTAGCACTGCCTGCACAGCACTAACAAGAATGTGCCCTTGTGGGCCAGACACGTGCCCATGGTTGATGCACCCACCTCTGTGGGGCTCTGGGGTTGAACACCTATGTCGAGCACCAACAAAGGAAGCAGGAAAATGTGGGCAGACAGGCAGGACCCCTCCAGCACAGGGTTTCAGAGAGAGTCCTTGAATTTTACTTGGCACTCACAGATCCATCCACCCCCAGGGAGGTACTTACATGTTGTGGGCACACAGAGTACACTCGCTGGCATAAGTGACACCGTCGGTACCGCAGACAGGATCGTAGATCATCGTGCAGGCCATCACCTGAGTGCCATCCTTCTGAATGGACATTGGGTACTGGCTGCAGTTGAGCTGGGGAACAAGGACACCAAAAGTTCTGACACAGGCTCTGCTCTCTGCAAGGGAGCCCAGACACAACTCCCTCTGCTTTTGTCTCTGCCTAAATCTCACTACGCCAGATCCTAAAAGGATCTGCCAGAGGACAAATTATGGTTATATATTAACTCATTCCTCACAGAAAACTAGCAATTTCCTTTCACAGCCTTATGCTGGAGAAGACTGAATCAAGGTTGGAAGGCAGACACTATTCATTCAGCTTTGCATTTATCACAATGCCCCTATACCTTGCTGAACCAACCAGGATATTAAAAAGCACAGCTCAAAAATAATCTGCAAATCAAAAAGACACAATTTATGCACTTCCTGCAAGGGGGTTGATTGCGACCAAGGTGTTTTTCATGGCCCACAAGAATGGAGGGGGGATGTGCTGACAGGACTTTTGTTGCAATGGGATGATTCCGAGTGTTGAAACCTGCCAGCAGGACTGACAGCCATTGAAGCTGATTTACACCAGCTGAAGAGCTGGCCTTGCATTTTAGCACTCCCAGTTTCTCCAGTGTGAGCTCTTCTTTCCTGATTTATGTATCTCACTTGGCCTGAGCACAGAGTGTACTCGGGAAACAAAGGAATGACATTTCATAGTTTGTTTGTATAGAAATGAAATATCTGACTCGGGATGTTGACTCTCTCAAACAAATGCTAATGAGGTGGCTTTGTTCTTCTATTCCCCAATGAGAGTAAATAGTTTAGAGCTGGCCAAACATAGTTAATCTGGTATTTTTACAAGATTCATTGTTGGTATACATTAGATTACGTTGCATTTACCAAAAAAAAGCCCCCAAAACAAGGATATCAGGTATCCCCTGATGTCTTAGGTATTAGCATTCAAAACACAGGCAATTCTCTAATCTTTGTAGAATATCCTTTTGTAAAACACAAGCATCCAGGAGGCACTGGGTTCCCTGGGTACCCTTTCCATATTGCCAAAATGGGCCGCTAAGTTCCTGCAGCAGCTATGATAGGCTGCTGTGGGAAAAGGATTTCTTCGTGTAAAGCCTTAAATCGTCTATGTTACCCATCTCATAACTCATTCCTCACCTGTCCTCTCCTCTTCTTTTTCCTGACTGTGCAGGAAGTGCACAACGTTCCTGCTGCCAGGAGGGTGATATTCACCCACAGAAGGAAGGTCAGCACAAGCCATGGCCCCACGGAGGTTACACCACCCAAACCAACCAGCGTTTGTTCAAGTTATGCGGTTGGCACCTGCCCAAACTCTTATTTTTCTTTAGGTTTCACTTACCTGGGGAGCTTCCTCTACGCACCTTCCATCGTGCTTCTTGGCAACCTCAGTTCCAAAGGCGCTGGAAGAGAAAGCAGAGTTAAAAAAGCTCAGCAGATAACTCTGTGGGGCTCTCAGGGGGTGACCTCCAGGGCTTACATGTTGTGGGCACAGAGAGCACAGTCGTTGGTGTAGGTGACACCGTCTGTCCCACAGAGCTCACGCAAGATGAAGGGACAGGCCATGATGGCTTCGCCTGATTTGGTATTGCTCAGGTATGTGCTGCAGTCAACCTGGGGAGGCAAAACAGCAATGCTGGGTCAGCTGCCGCGAGATGGAATTGTCTCACCTGCAGTCTGGCCAGCTGATCCTCCAGATTTTAAAGGCTTATGTCAGGGGTTTTTTAAGTTTAGTCTTGCATTAGAAAATAGTTAAGTCACTGTAGATGGGTTTCGTATTTTGTGCTCGCAGAGGGAAGAAAGGAACAGCTGGCCAGAAAGATTATTTTCCTAGAGTAGTACACATACAAATTTTAAATCCAGCATTTCACAGAATTATAAAGGTTGAAAAAGACCCCTGAAATCCAACTGTTAACTCAGCACTGGCACGTTCACCACCAAAACAGATCCCCCAGTACCACATCCACATGGCTTTTGAACACTTCCAGGGACAGTGATTCCACCAACTCTCTGGTCAGCCTTTTCCAGTTACTGACCAGACTTTCAAGGAAGAATTTTTTCCTAATGTTTGATCTAAATGTCCCCCAGCACAACTTGAGAAATCTGAGTGAAAGTATTCAATATTAAGTCCAGCTTGATGTAGTTTACTATATCTGAGATTTTGTTTCAGATTTTCCAAAACAACAGCAAGACCTGTTTCACCAGCTCCTGTCACAAAAATATTTACAATATATAAAATCTATTGATTTAAATATTTGAGGATAAATGGACGAACACCAATTGGAAATCAGTCTACACTGGCTAAGCATCACTTCACTGTCATTTTGCACAGTTTCCCCAATGCAGTGTCTCTTATTATACATATTTCCCACATGGTCCAAGAACAAATTAAAGCAAAGACAGCATTTTAACAACTTGTCTTTTGTATAGAAAATATATTGCAGTCCCTCAGGATGCATGAAATTATTTTTGGTGCTTCAGAGCTGCTCTGCATAAGCAGAATAAATGTGTTGAGATATTATCAGCACATATTGTTACTGTGCAGGATAATAAAGCTATTTCTGTACACATACCTGAAAGCAGATTTGTCCTGGTTGACCAGAGCACGAGGATTTTTTAACCTGCCTGTCTAGTGCAATGGAAATCTGATCACTGAATAAATACACTGACAACTAACACTGCCTTCTGCTTTCTCTCCCACTGTGCTAAAATAAGCTGCACGGTTCTTGGGTTGCCTCTGATGATTTCTGTTCAGAGATCTGCAGTACTGGGACATTTTGTTTCTGAAGTCCCAACCTGTCCCTGTCCTCTCTTGCCCTCATGTACAGCACATTCACATCAGCAACTGTGAGAAACTAGGGAGAACCACAGCATCAGCATGACTCCTGTGCACCAAGCTCCATCCATTCAGGAGCACAGAGGGTGCACTGAGCCCAGCCAGGGTCTTCCTGGAGACTGGAGAGAGAGCAGATGGTGCTTACTTTATAGCTAAAGGTACACTTACAGGAGTGCTTTCCTCCTTGCATCTTCCCTCATGGCTTTTCTTAACATGAGTCTCGTATTGTCTGAAAGGGAGAGGTTGGGGTTAGCACACACACCAGCTGAGCCCTGTGACACCCAGATACCACAGAAAGCAAACCAAACCCATAGCCTCTATATATGACAAAGGAGCCACCTGATTTCCTAATGAATCAGCTTCTCCCAGTCATTAGCAAGCATAATGGGTGCAGACCCATCAGGTCTCCCCACTGTGCACCACACAGAAGCCCCATCTGCTCTTCCCTCTGCCCAAACACCACAATCCCATCCACTCTTTTCCCTGCTCAGATATCACAGCCCTCACAGTATGCTCAAATCAAGAACTGACTCTCCCACAGCTCTCCCGAGGACCAAAAAGAGAGCATCAGGGAACAAAATGAAAGTGACAGAGGCTTCAGGAGGTCGAAACAGAAAGAGACATATACACATATTGGCCCCAAAAGAAAAGCCGTCTGGAGCACCAACCATGGCTAGTCACTCCAAAAGAGAATCCTGTGTACAGTACTTACACATTATGGGCACAGATGCTGCACTCGTTGTCGTAGGTAAATCCGTCTGTGCCGCAGACCGGGCGCAGGATCCTGGGGCAGCGCACCAGGTCTTTACCTCCCTTAACCTTTCTTGATGGGTATTGACTGCAATCGATCTGCAAAAGGCATCAATGACAAAAGTGACAAAAAGACCTTGTTTTCTGACAAAAAAGGATTCCATCTTAACCTCTTTCCATGTCTTTTACATGAGGATACTGAGGCGACAGTAGAGCTACGGCTCAGTTCTTGCAAAACCAGGTTGAGTCAGTTCTGCATGAATCCTCTCATGCACAGAAGGAACTGCACGGTGATGCATAGTTTGTGAGATGCCAAATCACTGGGGTAAGTAGTTTGGTCAATCCCAAATGCAAGATATGTCAGAAAAGCAATTAGAAAAAGGGAAAACTATAGTCTTCTTTCATTGTGCAGTATAGATATAAACAAAACAACAAAACAGTGAAGGAATTTGGACTTGGATCTTCCTTTGAGGGTTCCCTTCAAACACAAAGCCCAAAATGACCAATTCCCCCATTTGTGTGTTGGCATGTCCTAGATATCAGCTCTGGGACTTCTCAGCTGATATACTCAGATCAAAACCTCAGGTGTGCTCCATATTCCAGAAGACATCCCCACCCCAAAGGCTGATGTGGGTGTGAATTCATCATGAAAACTCTGTGCAGAGCTCCTGTGCAGCCCATCTGCCAGGGCTGTGAGCGCAAGGAAGGCCCAGAGGACACCTGCCTCAGATGGGATTTGCAGGCATCCTCGACACAAGGAACTTGACAAGACTTAATAGACAAGTGTAGAAAGCCAGGCTTCAGGCCAGCTCATTTTCAGAGTAGTTGTCACCTCAGGGAACCTTTCAGTTGATACAGCTAAGAGAAGTAAGGCTTATATTGAACACTTACATCAGAAGTCTCCTGTCTGCACTGTCCGCTGTGCTTTTTGCCAACATGGGTCCTTTGTTCTCTGGAAGAGAGAAACAATAAAATTGAGGAAATAAATGCTTAACCTCTTGGTCACAGTCCTGAGCAAAGTGAAGCAAATTATGGCTTCAGACTCTATAAAAGTGTATCAGAATAGCTACTTTACTCATTAACAAGCTCACCCCATTTTCCTATAACGTGCAATTTAAAGTAATATTCTGAATTGTTCCTTCCTCTGCCCAGTCACTGCCCAGCCCACAGACTAATCCAAGGAGCTGCCTTATGACTCTTCAAGGTTTCCTCTCACAAGCACAAAGAAGGCATCAGAAAGAAACACAAGGTAAATCCCAAACCAACCCAGTTTCTAAGAGACTCAAAGAAACAGGCATAAGTAGAAATGCAGCAGGGTGGTTCTCAGGACTGCACAGCATTGCTGGCTACTCAGAAGGAGCACTCCAAGTATGGCACTTACCCATTGTGGGCACAGATCCCGCATTCGTTATCATATGTGATGCCATCTGTGCCGCAAACTGGATTCAGGTTCCTTGGACAGGACACTAATATTTTGCCATCTTTAGTGACTTGTGTTGGGTACCTGCTGCAGTCAACCTGTCAAAATAAGGACAAATAGCCCTGGTGGAGCCCTTGCTGTGCAAGAAAAGCTGATGCAAAACCTGTTCACTCTGTATCCGAGCCTCAGTGGTTTCTGCAACAGGACAAAGCCCTGATACACTGAAGTTAAATTTGCAATCAGAAATGACCTCTCTTAATGGTATCCTAGCATTCAAGGAGTCAAGAAAAAGGACTATCTTGGCAAAGGGATTCTTCAGGCAGAAGAACAGGTACAGAATTTAGGGCCTATGCTCATAAAAAAAAATGTTCTTGAATTTGGTAAGAAACATTTTTCCCCAGCTGTAAATCTGACTAATATTGTTTTGGTTTGTGTTGGTTTTCTCCACACTTTTCCAGTTCTGTGATCACTTCTTACTTCAGATTCCCTCTAGTTCAGCACAGGGTTTGAAAGGATAGGGAAAAAATGGTTATCTATCAGTTGGAGAACGGGATTCAGACATCGCAGAATTTTGGCACTGAAATACAGAACCTTCTCCTCCTGAAGCACCAGACTGTTGGCCTCACACAAAGATACAATGCACCATGCTCTATAAATATGTATGCTTAGTGCTCTTGTAAGTCTCACTACCAGTCTGTGAAAACCACCAGCATGGGAATTTTGAATCTCTGTTGCTGAGGGTGGAAATGCTTGTGATCTCCAGAGAGAAAACTGCCAACCTGCACAGAATGTTGGCAAGTGAAATCTTGCCCCCCACCCCTTCCTCTGGGCACACAAGCCAGCTTAGCACGTAGGGAAGTGAGTTCTGAAGCACTGACTCACTGCAGCTCCTCATTCCATATCCCTCTCCTTCCTCAGTTTGGTGTGGTAAGCATGGGGTGACCTTCTCTTTGGAGCAGGGAGGATGCCAAATCCTCCCTCACCATCCAGAAAAGCAAAGCATGAACTGGAACCCCTCTAAGCCTTGTGCTATGAATCTCTTGTAGTTTCCTAGGGAAATCTGTGGGGTCCTCAGGATTCTATTCGCAGCCCTAAAAAATGGATTTTCGACTTCTATTGCACTTACAGCAACAGACTCCTTGCACTCTCCATCGTGTATTTTGGTAACATTGGTGTTATGTTCCCTGAAAGAAAGAAAAGCTTTGGTTAGGAAGTATTGAGAATAACTTCCCCCACGTCACTCCAGGCACTGGAATAACAAAGCCGAGTCCCACCCGCCTTGTGGGACACTACAACTTGTCTGAATGCAACCTGCAGATGGCCACAGCAAATGCACAGTGTTCCCATACCCCATGGAAATGAAGTGTTAGGAGTGATTTAGTATTACAGGTAACACTTTGATCTGTTCACGGCTCTGCTCTGGGTTTTTTGTGATTCTCCTCACGACCACAGTCAAAAAATAGGGAAGAAAACTCAAGCTGGCTGAAGAATTAAAAACAGCCAGTTCCAAGGAGACCTACAGAGACACCTGCCTTAAGATTAATATTTTACAGAAGTGCTTCTGAGAGTGATAGGTTACTAATTATCCAGAAGGACATCCCATGCACAAGACTTACGTGTTATAGGCACAGATCCCACATTCGTTGTCATAAGTGAAGCTATCTGAGCCGCAGACTGGTTTCAATATCCTTGGGCATGCTACCACAACGTGATCATCTATTACAGCTCTTCGGTAGTTAGTGCAATCAATCTGTAAAAATAGCAGGGATAGAGGAAAAAAAAAAACAAAACAAACAGAAAACACACATTTTTGATATAAAGATACAACACTCCTACATAGTCTGCTTACTCTCTCTCCCTCTCTCTCACTCTTTGGGGACAAATACAACAACAAACTAATTTCACTATCAAAAGCAGAATTCTCTGTGAGAATTCTCTCCCACTGAAAAGAAATGGCTTAGCAAGAAGGACTGTCATTTGGGTTTTGCAAGATCCTTCATAAGATCCTGCTGGAGCTATCCAAGTGGTGAAATCCAACCCTCAGTCAACATATTATTTTCATTTTATTCCCAATTACAGAGACTAGAAGTCTGAAGTAGAAAATAACAGAGACGTAGTATCAGATAGCCCATAAAACCCTCCCAGCTTTGGTTATCATTAGATTTTAATTCCTTTTGGGCTGTGCAGATCAGCTGTGCACGTTCTGTTCTCCTTTTGTGTGGTGTTTGAACTGTCCCCATCACATATTTTGTCTTACCACGACAGATTTTGGCTCGCATTCTCCATCGTGGGCCTTCTCCACACTGTCACTGTGTTCCCTAGAAGGAAGCAGACCTGTGTCAAGGATCTCAGAGCACCATCGCCTCGAGGCTGGTGGTGTTGACTCCCAGCTGCTCCTCATCCCAGCTCATCAATGGGGAGCAAAGCTGCCACTTTTACCTGGAACCCCCTGCCTTGAGGTTTCTGTGAGGTTGCAGCAATACTCACTCGTTGTGCAGGCAGATCCCACAGTCGTTGTTGTACGTGTTGCCATCAGTGCCACAGACTGGTTTCAAGTTCCTTGGGCAAGCTACCCATGACCTTCCATCCTTGGTAATGCCACTGGAATACTTGCTGCAGTCAAGCTGTGAAAGCAGCACAGAATTAGCCCCAATTTTGGCTCTCTCATGGAATGAAACCCTCAGCAGCCTCCCACTGCCACAGCGCCTGCAGCTCCTGCCGACAGGCAAATTAGAGGCATTATCTGGAATCTGCCCAGGCAGTCAGGAGAAGGGAATCTTCCCTACAGAAGTTTCTGATGCTTTCCTGATGGGGCCCGGGGGGGGGGAACACAGCACAGGGTAAGAATTGCTGTGGGTGAGACACTGCCTAATGAAGGCAGCTGGTAATTGGGAGCCCAGCCCTGCGCCGGAGCCCCTCAGCTCAACAGCGAATCGTCTCAGATCGTGCTGCACTCTGGGAGTTACAGGAGTCTCGTAGCTGCGTGGGAAGAACCTGCAGATAAATCCATGGCTCAGACCCTGCTGTTTTCCTCTCTGTGATATAGGTATAGAAATTTATGCAAGGAACACAGTTCTTTGGGTCTTATCATACGGAAACAATTATCAGAGTCACAGTCTTTGATACGTTCAAGCATATCATAAGACAGTATTCCTCATGAGGAGGCAAACTACTGCCTTTGGCTTGGAGTAACTAAATTATGCCTAAGAGTTAATATAATAGGAATGTACAATTACTTCTTGCTTTTTCCTTTTATTTAATGAACTGAAAATACTGTGAGAAATGGGGATCTTTTACTTTCTCGTGAAATTGGCAATATCAGTCAGCCATGCACTGGAAAATGTTATTTGAACAGCTAAGATTTCATTAGATTTAATCCATGTGCTCATTGGGTAATTACATACTGTTTCTGCTTTACCAGAAACCTGAATAGAACAGACTAAATAGACCTGTAGCTTACCTGAACTCCAAAGGCAGCACCTAAAACAAAAAATGAAGACCAAAAAAAAATCTAATTACTAGTATGCAAAGAATACGTACGTAAAGCTTTTGATGAAACTTCTAAATTCAATTATGCTGTTGACTAATTTATTTAGTTTAAGAAAATATGGAGTTGTACATTGTGCCAATAAATGGCCATAAGATGTATTAAAAGTTATTAAATACAGTTTCATTGCACTTCTGAGGGGGGATAAAATACATAAGAGCATACATATTAATCCATCACTCAGATGTTACAGGGAAGGTACTTTCAATTCAGTACTCTTGGATTTTAACCTAAGAGACTTAATATTTGACTTTCGAAACTTTGGACATGGGTGTTTAAGATGATTATCGACCACTGGCACTGTGTATCTCCAAACACATCTTTCTCAGTTACCAGGAGCAGCAAACTTACAGAGCAATCCTAGAGTTAAGTTTGCATTAATGTTGCTCACATGGGCAATGATGCCATTTCTAACAGCTTTGTTTTGCCCTTATACGCAGGATTCCCACGTGCAAGTTCCTGCCCTGCACTAAGGCTGCTCCTTCAGCAAGTGCTCTTTCAAACAAAGAAGATGGAAACAGTTGCCTTCATGATGATTGCAGAAACCTCAGTCTTGAAACCCAACTTTTTTGCTACACTCTCTCGGGAAGGATATTTCTTCATGGAATAAGGTTCTCATCTATGTCGCAAGATCCAAAGACTTTTACTGAAATGAAAATTCAGCTCCAATTCAGCTAGATCAATCTTTGCAGTATCCCAGGGAATACTCACCAAAGCAGCAGCAAAGGGCTAAAGATGCCCTCAGGAAAATGCCTGTTATCTTCATGGCAGCCAAGGATACCGCTCCAGTGCAGCCTGTGTGCTCTCTGTGCGGGCGAGGAAGATTGCAGGTAGGAGCAGGAATATATAGCACACCGTGCTATCAAGTGGTCCCACCTTATTAGGTAATGCTCCAAGCCTGTCATCACCATTCAAAGCCAAAAACATATTTACCCAGCTCTAGATGTCTAGCTAATGATTGATATAAGCGTGTATGCCAGGAAGGGGATTTCACGAGTAGGAACTGTGCCAAGACCCCTCTCCTGGACAGATCTGCCCAGCCCTGGGCTGCCCCTCACGTGGCTGCAGAGTGTTGCAGGCTCACCTCTACCCTGTGTCTGGTTAAATGCAATTAGAACTTTCTCCTCCTCTATAGTTTTCAACTGAGCTGTCAACTGATAGCCAAACCCCTCATTATTTAACCTCAGAGCATGATTTTGTACTCTTCGCTGCTGCATTTCATCCCAGTTTGAGCCCAGGCAATTTCAGCCCAGAAGGTCACCCTGTGCTCTGCGGGAGGAATCCTGCTCTTCTCCTGTTTAAAAAACCCAGCAGTGCTCTGCTCTGCTTGCCAACTTTTTCTGTACAACAGCAAAGAGCAAAAATATGAAGTTTGGTCCTAAACCCCATCTTTTTGGCTGTTCACTGACAACTCCCCATGGTACTGTCTGCTCATCTGCTAGCAGCTCCCCTGTGGCCAGCCCCTGACCCACCTCACAAAGCCTAAGTGACAGCATCCCACAGGGCAACAGGCCAAATCCTTTAATGTCTGCACAGACTAGATGTACTGTATTTCCTTTACCTAGGAAGTCAGCCAACTTTGCAAAGATTGGTATTAGCCCACGCATGGTTTCCTTCCTGAAAATTCGCTGTGTATGTTATCTCTTTACGCTTTATATCTTTAGTTTTCCTCAAACATCTCCTTAAGGTTTGCCCACTACTAAGGTAATGGAACTCAGATTTGTCTTGAACACTCCTTTTGTCCTTCATGCAAGGAGATTTTTGGCAGTTTTTTGGACTGGTCTCAATTGTAGTCTTCTCAATTGGGATCCTAAATTCTCCAAATTTCTCGCTAACTTTTAATCTTTCAAATTCTGTACTTGGTAATCAAAATCCTTACTTGCAGATCTATTTTTTGACATAATTTAAACAGAGTGAGCTCGTGTTGAATCATCACAATTTTATTTTCTAAGAGAAGGACATTTCCAACATCTTTCTCACTTGAAAAGCAAATCCACAATAATACAGTTTTGGGGATTGCCTAATGGAAAAATATTTACTTTCATATCCTGGAATTCTGCTACTATTAGTAGTTTGCAGTGTGCATCTGCAAAGCTGAAGTTCCTCAAAATGCCAGCCTTTCCTGCCACATTAGTCTTTAGGGACATGAGTTCATCTCCCTGTTCATATACCTTGATTTCATTCCTTTTCTCTCATGTTCCACCCAATGTTTCCTGCCCTCTCCCTTATCTCAGTTCCATCAAGTGTCAAGGACTCCAGGCCTTTGGACAAATCCAAGCCTCAGCTACAAGGACCTCTTTTCATCCTGATTACACTATCCATCTCCCTGGGCTTATTCCAGCCAAGACCAGCATCCATTAATGCTTCCTGGCAGTGGAAAATGTATCTTGACAACTTAATTGCCAGGTTCTGTAAAAGCTGTCATGGTCAAGCAAATTCCTGCCAATGTCCACAGGAATGACACCTGAACCTTATAGGAAAGGAGATATTATTTGCAAACCAAATCTGCAGTTAAAGTAGATTTACTCAGCCTGTTCTGTCAAGAGCAAAGTAATTCTCTTCCAACTAAGATTAGTTTTGGGGAGAAGTTTGCAATAGGAGACAGAGTAAAGGGACAGAAGAACAAACAAACTGTCAAGGATCTAAAGAAGGAACTAGGATTTAAAAAACACAGCTACAGCACGTGTCTGCTGTCCCACGTGCCAGCCGAGGCACGCAATGCTCAGCTTTGGGCTCCTGCCCTGTGCACAAGGAAGGTCCTTGCTGTGACCCTACAGGTGAGCCCCTGCTCAGAGAGAGTGATTCAGCAAAGCATTTGTCCATCAGCACAGAGCCTTTCAAGAGCGGAGCAGAAGCTGCAGCAGCACATCCCACCCACATTAGACAGGAAGACCTTTGGTTGTGTTTACACCCTTCTGCTTGTGCAACCCCCACTCGCAGTGATCCTCTCCTTTCTTCTGCTCCCTCTCAGGTTACCTCTAGTCCCAGCTGTGAATCATCTGTCACCATTTCTGCAGAATTTCACTGACACAGGCTGAGAAAGGAGGTAAGAAGACAACAAAGCCAACTCACCTGTTTGTCAGAGATATAAGCATATTGTCCATGCTTCCCATCCTCAAACCACATGGGCACTTGTTACTACACCAAGCACTAAACTGCTTGTTTTTGGACCTTCTACATCAAGGATCTGAATTTCTAAGTTGCAAACAGTTGCATTTACTTCTTGTTTTCAGTGAACAACTTGAGCGCAGTTGCTCATACCTTCATGCAAATGAGTGTTGAAAGTGCTTGTCTTGCAGTTCCAGGGGGAGAGCTGGGCAGCAGGAGGGGTCTTGCAGCAGAACAGAGCAGGGAGATCCCAAGGAAATGGCATGGATGAGAGTTCCCTGGAGTAGGGAGACTCTTGCAGGAAAAGACAGATGTTATAACAGATGCCAAGCAGGAGCCCTAAAGAGGGGAAAGAGGGAGACCCATTCACCAGTCCCCAGGGTGAAAGCAGATGGGCCATGGAGCAGAAATTGTGATAATCAAGACAATTAACACTGAAATCCCCAGGTACCCACATACAGCTGTTGTGTAGTGGGATTGAGCGTCAGAGGGATGTAGGGAGAGCCAGAAAAGAGAGCTCTGCCAGAGGGGCTTGCCTGCAAAAACAGCATCAGTCTCTTCATGTCAAAACTCACTTGGTTCTTGAAGGAACAAATGCCCCTAAACTGCTGTGACAGACTACAGAAGGTGCCCTGGCCAGAGCACACTATGGGGCTCTCTGTCCTTGTGGCTGCAAGAGCAGCAGTGAGTTGGTGGGCAGAGCTTCCAGGCTTCAAATGGACAGACTGCAGAGGACTGAAAAACATCACAGTGAGTTCAAGGTCTGCTGAAACATCTGCCAGAGTCAACAATCCTCACTGTCTACAAGAGCAGTACTTGTCCACCCTGAAGAATTGCATAAGGCCCTGACACCTTCTATGAAAAAAAAAAAAAAAAAATAGTAAGATACTTAAGGTCCTTGCAGAGAGTATTTTAGCCCCAAACCCAACCACAGTGAGAGGCTGGAGACCAAACTGTCAGTTCATAATGCCAGTTCTGCAAAACCTCAGGAACTGCTGTGAACCACATGGGGTCTGTGGTTATTGGCAAGCGACACCCTTAATAAAGTGTAATTTACAGCAAACTGAAGAGTCCCAGAGCGCTGGTACCTTTCCAGTTTCATAGAGGGCTGGTTTGGCCCTGCTACCGTTTTAAAGGGCAACACAAAGGGTAAGCAAGAGCAAACATAAGAGAAAGGGTAGCCAACTCCCAGCACCTCACGAGCCTTTGCTTCCTTCTCCCCAGGAGTAACAACGCGTGGCTCCCGTCATGCAGACCCCACTGGAGCTCCACCACACATGGTGCCACTCGGGACTGGTTCCTCACTAGCAGCCCCTGGAGCAACCTGCAAAAAGGGGTGGAAAGCAAGAACAGAGCAAGCAGGAAGGCTGCCAGGAGCAGGATGGAGCCAGTCTTGCTACTCACAGCAACACAGGCAGTTTTAGCAGTCCCCTGTCCTGCATCTTCTCAGCAGACAGGCTTGGAATCTGATTAATGCTCCCTTATCACCAGCTGCGATTTTTGTGGATGATAATTTCTTCTGGCAGCAGGAAAAATTTAGAAGGTGCTCAGATACTGACAGAAGAGGCTACTGGGGCACTGGCTTCATCAGCTCATTGCTTTTCAAGCACATTTAATGCAGGTTTTAGGGGTCATTATTTGAAAACTTAAATACTTGAAATCACTACAAATCATAGTAGCTTTCAAGAGCACTGATTTTCATTTGCAAGAATTTATTTTAAGCCACAAATTGTGCACTGCTTTTATGAAATCATGTAGATGTCCCTGCACATGATTTTAGCTGGAATCAGTGAGCAGGCATCATCAGAGCACATTTTTACTGTCTGACATTCATCATTCTCAGGCTGCATAAATAACATTCAAGAATGTACTTGTTTCATCACAGCTCAAAGACAAAGTCTGCATCCCCCAAAACAGCTAACCAGCCCCAAAGAGGTGACTCTCACCCTACATGACTCTACTTAGTGAGGGGGTTTTCCATGTAGAAAGAGGTAGTCATAATTTATTTCTAAATCATAGCATTTGTTCACATTAGAAATCAGCATAAAAAATACTAACAACCACTTACGTCAGAGTGTGTTGATAATAAAATCAGGTTTTATTATTATCTGCTATAATAAAATGTGATGAAATACGTATTTTGAGAGTTTAAAATCAATTCTCACTAAGTGCAGCAGAAAAAAAAAGATTTGATAACTTAATTGAAAAAATTCTACGTCTTTGGTGGGAGTGAAATTAATTTGTATTAGGTAAAATCCTATCAAAATTGAAAGAAAAATCAAGTGACTGCGAAAGAAAGTCATTCCAGCCTTATCTGCAAGAGAAAGTGTTTACAGATCAGGTCTAAATGGACTCAAACACAGCGTATGTTCATTCAAGGTCTTCTAGAAATGTCCTGAAATAAAGTTTATACAAATAAAGAACATATTTGCTTTAAGTAACAGCTATAAAAGAAAGTACAGGAAGTACGTGCAAACCGCCAGCAGAGTTCTGTTAACCCACCATCAGTGTCTCCTGCTTTGAATACCACCCTATTCCCAGATTCACTGACCCCAAAAAGCCAGGGAAACCCTTAGCTCAAAGTCCTGGTTTTATCTGAGCACAGTTTCAGAATATAAATTAACCAGAACTGTCTGTAGGTCGGTTACACCTCAATACAACAAAACCTTTCCTTAAAAACCTTAAGCTATTTCATACCATGGAAATTCTCACTTCTGCACCTGCCCCAGCACCAGGGCCCCAAAGGAAGGACCCTCCTCTCCCTGCAGGAGATGGACCCAAAGATGGGCACTGGCTGAGCCCTTGAGCCCACAGGGAATTTCAGGTCAAGGCAGAAGGTGACCGAGACAGTGACAATCCATGGGTACAGTACCACAGTGTCTGAGCTTTCTGTGCCGACTTAAGGGTGCCATCAGCGCTTCTGCCCTCTCACAGCAAGAAATACTGCTGGCCAAATTCACACCTCCAGATTCTTCCTGGATGTGCCCCCAGCTCCAGTGGGGCAGGGCTCAGCACACCATCTGACATGACCACTCAAGATGTATCTA